CCACCCCCGCCCCCGTCATTGTGCAGGAGAAGATCATCGAGAAGTTGGTGACAACGCCAGCCCCGCCTCCCGCTCCCACGACCACCCCTGCGCCAGTCACCACTCCAGCCCCGGCCATCGTCGAGGAGGCGCGCGCAAACGCGAAACAGGAGCTCGCCGAAGAGTTGGAGGAAGTCACCGAACAGCAGCCCACCTTCAAGGAAGTGGAGCTAGAGATCCCGACCGTTAAGTCAGTCGGGAAGGTGGTGCTCGTGGAGACGGTGCGCCGCGTGGTGGACGTGGACAAGTTCGAGAACGCCGAAGGGTACTCGACATCGCCCTCCCGCTCCGAGCAGACATTCGTCGACCCGGACGGCACATTGAGGAAGTTCGAGCGCTTCATCGAGTACGAGAACATCCCTACCACCAAGAAGGTGCAGGTCGCAGTGGAAGAGAAGACCAAGCCGGCTTTTTCTATAAAGAGCGCATCTCTGCGGAAAGGCAGCAGCAGCAGCAGCAGCAGCAGCTTCAGCAGCAGCAGCAAGACCACTCGTCTCACAAGCGCAGCTCCCGAGAGCCTCAGCCTTCTGAAGGCGTCGAGTTTGAGCACCTCCCAGCAAGAGGCGGCTTCGGTGTCAGAGTCGCGCTCCCTCTCATCCTCGTCCTCTCCCTCTTCCTCCTCATACTCACAGGGCTCCGTTAGCGCGAAGCTCGGACTGCAGGGACAGCTCCCTGACAACGAAGAGTTCCTCATCGGCGGCATGAGGGTCAAGCAGAGCAAGTCCCTCAAAGCGCCGCGCGCAGAGATCACCAAGGACGACCTCCCGGTGAACTTCAACCTGCACCACTTCAGAAGCCGCGTGGACGCCGCCTCCGGCACCGTGAGGTTGACCGCCGAGGAGGCTGCCGGCCCGAGCACAACCACCACCAGGTGCGTGGCGAAGCCAGCTGTAGGAGGCAGGCAGGTCAGCGGGGTTCCTCATATGAGAGCGCACTAATTGTCTTTCTCTCCTTGCAGTGAGGAGGGCGTCTCGGCTGCCAAGTCCCTGGTGGAGGAGCCGGTGGTGCAGCCCGAGGTGTCGACTGTCGCCCCGTTGGAGGAGCCGACCGAGGCCAACACCTTGGCGCCCCCGCAGGCGCCTGTCACAGCCCCGTCGGTGTCCACACTGCCGCCGGTGTGAGGCGTGGGCCGCTCGGGTACACCATACCCGTTAGAAATAAGTAAACGACTGAAAATGGCCAGCGCTGTGCCGCACTTGAGTGGTAGTCACTGTAAGACACTTTGGCCGTGCCCAGCGCAAGGTCTGGATAGACAAATAATTTTGTAATTTTGTAAAATATATAGTTTTGTGTACATTGCTCCTTTGCACGGTTTCACCCGCATCCCGTTGCGAAGGTGTAAATATAGTAATAATAAAAACAAAATGATCTTCCACTTCGACTCTCGTATATTACCACAAACGTACTGCTCATCCACTCCGCAAGAAAAATAATAGCACTCGCTTCAACTCTCCAACAGAGCTATATAATGTTTTCACTAATGATAAATGCGTTGCATCTACCTGCTCAGCTCACCACTGCATAAACTGAAGACGAGTACACATCATCACCGCCATCATAGTCTCGGATCGCCGGGCTGCACCCAAGCTCACAAGACATTACATTGACGACGGAAAAAAATCTCAGAACCTGGTTGCGCAGCGCGCTGATCGGCGCTGATGTGTTCGGTGCTCGGTCTCCTGAACCAACCAGTCGAGCGCATCGGCGAGAGGGGGCCGCCCGAAGCACAAAGCCGCTGTTCGGCCGACATCAGTCCAATATCTGAGCTCGCCGGGCCGCGCCGCACTTGCACACACACTCCAGACGCTGAGAGGCCCCTCCCCTCTCCTCTCCCCGCCCCGCCGGGCCGCCGGGGAAATTAACATGATTTCTCTTTTGAGTCGGGTATCGGCGTCGGCGGCCTTGGCATGACGATGTTTTGTTGGCCGAGCACCTCGAAAGGTGCCGCAAGGACGCCCGAATGCTGCTCAGCTCACTTCAATTGGCGGGGCGATGATTTCGGTCACCGCTGCGCCTCTCCAACCTCTGTGAACACAACAGGGGGAAAAAATGAGGAAGACACATAAACTAACACGCAGAGTTCTCGCGGCTAGCAGAAAACAATAGACGTAATGGAGTCTTGTGGTGGCATGTTCCCGCCATGCGTTCGCCTACGAGTACGAGTAGGCAGCGGTAGGCAGCCGCCTTGCGTGTTCAGTGAAAGACCATTGACGACCGGAGTTCAGTCCGGCTCAGTTCCCCCGCTTCCGCCATCGCCGCTATAAGTGTTGATTTCCTTAATTATACTATGAAGGAAATCTTTCAAATTTGTTTGAACTAGTGTGAATAACCTCTCTCTCGGCAGTGGGTGATTGCGGCGCGTGTTAGGGGGGGCTGACCCCTCTCCTGCCGGTCCAAGATATCCGCCTGAAAGGTGGCCAATTTGAACTGCAAAACCCCTGTACATAGGCAACTTGCGCTACCCTCCCGCCTCCTGTGGTGGGTGAGAGGTGAGAGAGTGCAAAGACGCCCGCGTCACATTGGTCACATGCTGGCGGCGGTGTTGCTAACTGCATTGCACGCGCCCCGCACCACGAACAAACTTTATGCTTGTTGTGTGGGGATGGTAGGCCGCTTATGCCGCCGGCGGCGGGCTATTGCAGAGGATTGGAGTTTCCAGTTTCTAGAAGCAGATTGCTTCGGCCTGGAGCAACTACTGGGAGGCTCCCCAGCTAGACTAGTCTGGACGAGTCACCATGACCACCGCCACTACTCGCCTGTTGCTGCCAGCTGGGCCCCGCCGGCACCTCGTTGGAGGAGACCGGTTTGGTGTTGCTGACGCCGCCGCTGCCGCGGCTGTTGTTGTTGAACACGGCGCGCAGGAGCTGCATGAGGAGGCCGGCCCGCACGCGCGTCTCGGCGAGGGTCGCTGGCCTGGAGCCGGCCAGGGCGTCCACCTCGTCGATGCCCGGCAGCCCAGAGGGGAACGTGAAGGACGGGCCGGGCCAAGGGTCGTCGTCGACGGCTGAGAGAAGAAAGCAAAGAGCGGTCACATTGGAGTCCACGAGAGGGAATTCCCCTCTGGACCACGGCGGCATGCAGAGTGCCCGGGTAGGGATCGCGAGCAACTTTTTGTCTGCCGTAACGAAAATGGCGTTCAGTCTGCCCCTGAGTAACTATCATGATAAGTTCTGATGTCTAAGCCGATAATACTAAGTATCTCATCTAATAGTGACCCCCCATGATATGTGTACCTCCCCCCCCCCCCCCACTTCCTCCTGGGAGGAGCAACGTTCCCTACGGCGGACAGGAGAGGGAGAAGGTGTTGGGGAAGGGGGGGGGGCTGTTGGTTGTAATGTAAAGCTGATGCAGCAAGTAAGTCACGGCACGTGAGTGTCTTTGGGCTGCAGGTGCACTCGGTCGCTTGGTAACGCAATAATGTGCCCCTGCCACAGTGTGTCGCGTCAGCCGTGGCCGAGACACCATGCGTGTTAGTATTTCGCAGCAGACTTGTCTTCTACCCCGACGCTCCACACTATACGCATGCTCCCGAGGGGAAGGGGGGGGGCGGCAGGCGGAGATAGCCTGCCACGAGGTAATCCAGTCCAACATCTCAAAAAAAGGTCATCGACCGATTGAGAAATTAGAAAATTTTCCAGCAGCTGAAGCAGTACAACGACGAAGGGAATCGGTATGCGTCGGAAAGTTTCCGAAAGCGATTCTTGTCTCGAACCGGACCAACACTTTTTTTTGTTCTTGCTCGTATATCATCCACTATTAACACAACATTTTGGCACTCTTTCTAAGAATGGTCATACCGGTTTGACAGTTGTGTACCACACGGAAAAAATTACTGAGGATCAAGTATGCTTGGCAGGCTAAATTCGATAGCTGGAATCGATAATCCGAAACGAATAGAACAAACTCCAGCTTGGTTTTATTCGTACAAGTCTCCGGTCGTGACAACCAAGTCCAGCTCGTGGATATCGGATTCTCGATGCCAGTTATCGAATTTAGCCTTCTACAAAACAGAACTGATCCCCACAGCAAAGTCTTTTTTTCCGTGCACTGTTGAAAGTTTATATGATACGAGGGGTACCCTACTTGGTCCAGTCATTGTACCGGGTGATTCAGAGAAGACGCAGGTGCAGGCGGGTTTGCCTACCCACGGGGCTATGGCACCTTACGGGCAAAGCGGGTAGGCAAACCCGCCCGCATCTGCATATTCTGTGAATCACTCGGTACATCTGTCAAAATAGTCAAATTATAATAATTTTCAATCATTCGCGATCCCTGTAGTCCGTTCCAGTTCGTCTACAGTCTCTCCAGTCTTCACACGCAACTCCAGTCATCGCGGGATCGCGGGGAATCAAGTATTTCAGGAATCTTGTGTACACCTCAAAAGGGGGCTGATGCCCCCTTGACCTCCCCATAACTCGGACAACACGCGGCCAGGCCATCATTGGGCATAAAAGAATTACATGCGCATTTTATTTTCCTCCATCGCCCGGTGCGATAGGAGATGGTAGGTGAGGCCATCATTTCGTCCACTTATTTCCTATTCGAGTTAGCGAAAAAAACTTGACGTAATAACCAGCGGGTTTCGAAATAAGGAAAAAAACTCGTCATTAGAAGGAAACGTGGAAACGCGGATGGTGCGAGGGATAGAGGGATCGCCACGTGCTCCGCGTGACATTTGTCAGAAGAAAAGGGAAAAAAAAGAAAAGAACAGAAAAGAAAAGAAAAGGCTGGAAAAGCTGGCATTAAATTGTTCAGTACTGGTAAGTCCCAAGCAGGGGCGAACATCTCTCGTGGCGTGTCGAAGAATCATATAGCCGAAATGTGAAGTACCGGACGGAAGTTTATTAGCTGGATTCGCTTCGCACAGCAAACAAAAGAACCAATTAATTAGCTAAGCTTATGTGGACATGGCACGAAGATATGATAAGCCAACTGTGCGTGCGGCCGGGTACCCAGACGCTTATTTTCTATGCTAAACCGGGTCGTATTCATTGCTAAATAGCCGTAAATAGCAAGTCAGTTTTTTTTCTATTTCTTGGCGTGCTATTAGCCGTTTCGATAAGCAAATAAGTTGTCTCTCCATGACGACGATTAATGGGTT